TTTTTCTCGCCGACTCGTTTAAGTTGGAGCAGTTTCTCCCGTTTTCCATTTGCAGATTGGGTTGAATGTTTCGCATAAAAATTGGGCAGATTTTTTAGATATCTGTTGATACAGTAGCGTTGACAGCTTAATTTCCTTTTTACTTAGAGCATAGAATTTTTCTTCGCATTACTAGAAATACATCAAGCCAGCTGTACTGCTAGTCATTTAGTTTTCGAAAGATAATTTTTCTGGTCTTTCATTTAAAGCGTTTAACAAAAAGACAAGATCATCAATTCCGCGTCATCAGTTGATATTTGTTTTTGCAGTTATTGAGTTTCTGCTACCAGGTAAAACTTTACAATTTATCAACCATATTCAACAAAAAACTTGTTTTGAATAAACTATCAGCCCCCTAGAATTATTTGGTGGTTGTTTGTGGATATGTGACAGAGGGTCAATACATTTTGAATAGTTGGACTAGTTTGAGGTGCTGTGCATGAAACTGTGCTCTTACTTTTTTTGGTAACTTGTTTCCACGAAAAATCAGGTAAGAGAAATACTTATTGGAATATGTTGAAAGAAAATTATACTACCTTACTTTTAAAGATTGGAACAGTAGTCTTAAAAATTTCGAAAAAAAACCATTCAGTCGCAAAAAAAATGGCAACTTTTGAGTTTTATTGAACTTTGAAGACGAACAAAGCAACACAAGCAGGCTTATGATAGAAAACTGAGCTTTTTTGAGTCGTGAAAATTAAACTTTTTCTTTGTTAAAACAGTTGTTTTGGCTTTTTGTAACAAAATGATATAAAAAACAAAAAAGTATCTGTCGAAAATATATAAAAGTTTAAGCAGTTTTATTGACCTTTTTTCATTTTTTCTATTTTTTGTTACCTTTTTTCTTTGAATTTAGCTTGGTTCACCTCGCTGAGCCACTATTAAAAAACAACACAATTTGGGAAAAGTTTATTTTTATTTTGGTTCTTAACTTGTAGTCAGAATTTTCCAAGCGACTCAAGCAAGATATGTTTCGACCGTGATCGACCGAATTGGGGTATGTCTCGATTTTCAAACAAATTGAGTTATCTAAATTTAAACGCTATATTTTATTCGTATGATGCTTTTTAATCAGAAAGAAATGATTAGAGTTATATGCAATCTAAATTCTTTCTTTAGATGATCTTCTTGAGATGAATAATAGTTTTTTCTTGTTAAGGAACACTGTTTCGCAATTTAAATGAAAATATTAAAAATATATTGATATTTGAAAGTTATTTCCTTTTGGACTCCGAATTACCGCGGGACAATAGGTGTTTTTGACTGTGCTCGAAGTATGTTTCGACCCTGCTCGAGGTATGTTTTGACCGTGCTCGACTGTGATCGAGGAATGTTTCGATGTTTGTTTCGACCGTGTTCGACCGTGCTCGAGGAACGTTTCGACCATGCTCAAGATATGTTTCGACTGTGTTCGACAATGCTCGAGGTAAGTGTTGAAATTGTGATCGTCCCAAACCCCTGACTTGACTCAAACACAGTGACAAACAAAAATCACGTTTAAAGTCTCATGTTTGATTTCTTTAAGTAAACATAAAACGTGCCATTAGATTTTATCTCAAAAGTGCCCTTAACGCTTTTTATTATAAAAGTTTCTACTGGAAAAAAAAACGAGCAAAAATGAGATTTTTTGAAGCTGGATGCACATTTTTGACAAGGCTCCGAAAAATCTCACAGTTGAACAACATCTTTTTAGCAGGTGACAATTTCTTAAAATTTTTCATTGACTATGGCTTGTCGCAAAAAATTATCCCAAAAACTGTTGTTCAAATCTGACTAAGGAAGACAAAAAATTTGTTTTTGAAAGTAAAATGTAACAAACAGATATGGAGATCCGGGTTGACCAAAAATGCGAATCATACATTTTTCATATATGGAAAAGTGTTAGTCATACACTTTTCATGCAATTCCATAAGTACAGAATATTGAATGAAAGGTCTTTGATTAGCGGTCATAGATTTTCCATATATGGAATTTGTATGACTAGCATTTTCCCATAAACCAAAAAAAAAAATTGATTTTGCTAAATTTTAATTTCTCAAAATTTTTGGGATGTGATCGTGACCGAACACAAGTGAAAAAAACTATGATTTACTCAAAACCTGAGTTGCCAAAAGTTTGATCGTCATGCATTTACAAAACATTGGAAACGACCTGAGAGGTAAAAAAAACTTTTTTCACATAATGCACAGTTTGGCTTCGTAATGGATACATTCATGAAAACTTTTTACATTTACATAGACTCATTCATGATAATCTGCTTTTAAGTTGACCTTTTTATTAATTTGTGCCATTTTTTGATTTACCCTTGCACAATTTGTTGACATTTCAAACCAATTTTGCATCAGTTGCTGAAAAAAGTAATTCTCCGACAAGAAAATTATTGTGGTTTAAAATTGCTGACTTAGTATGGTAAATTATAAAAACCAGAGTCAAAAATCTGTTTTTCTTTAAACAAACAATCTGAGCTATGGAATCACCAGAGACAAACTTTGGAGGACAGTGCCGAACGGCGCCCCTCTTTCTCCTTCAGGTTTTCGAAGCCCCTGCCGACCCAAAGGGTCCCCCTTCTGTACTTTTATAAGGTATCCTGTTTCGGCGGACCGACCCTCAAATACTTTTTAAAGGCACCTTGGGTGCCACTATGTTTTAATTTTGAGGGGGAAGCGCGTGCTCAGAAAACCAAGCCCGTCGAAAAAAATATTCGATTTTTTTTTCAAAACTCGCCCCCCTCCCCCCTCGAGAATACCCTAGATCCGCCCCTGGATTCACAATAAAATGCATTTTATGAGACTTGAGACAAATTTGCTGCGTAAAAATTGGTGTAGTGATTTATATGAGAATGAACTACATTGGTTATGCTGACAAATTAAATTGAAATCTATGAAAGTTGACTGCAGAAAAACCGTTGGCTAGTTTATCAGTGACATTGAGAAAAGCAAGCACTGTGTCAAATTTTATATGAGATGTGTCATTTCAGGAAACGTTGCTTCGCTTTTGTTCTGCTGATTTTAAAACAAGCACGGTCAATATTTTTTATGAGATGTGTCATTTCAGGAAACGTTGCTTTGCTTTTGTTCTGCTGATTTTAAAACGATTGAAATTTCAAAAATGCGTTTTTTTCTCAAACTGAGATGCATTTAGACAAAAAATGATGACAAAACTTGCTTGAAATTAAAATTGAATTTTTCTCAAATTGAGATGCATTTACATAAAAAATGATGACAAAACGCTTGAACTTTAATATTATTTTTACGGTGCAACTTGTTTTGCAAAGTTTGGGCCAAAAATTTCACCCCAAAATATTATCGGTGAATGAAAACTGCGGGCCAGAACTACCATTTCAGTTGCTGTCAAATCTATATCAAAGTGACCCTATTATGTAGCCAAGCAAAGTTTGAGAAGAGCCTAATTTCATAAACCTTGAGCCAAAACTTAAATTGTTTTCAAATTAAAAAATGGTATTTTATGTAGTAAGAACGACATCGTTTATTGGCTACGAAACAAATATTAATTTCCTGAACCTAATTTTTTTAGAGGCTTTACGGTTTGTAAGGTTTGTTGAGCTACACTTTCATGTAGTTTTGACAGCAATTGAATTGGTACTTCTGACTGGTACTTCTCATCACCGATAAAATCCAACAATGATCGGTTTTGGGGTGAAATCTCGGGGCCGAACAATGCATTTAAATTTCAAGTTGGATTTGTTTTGTCTGGTTCATTGAAATCAGCACTGCATCGATTTCGTCTTAAGATCATACATATTGTCGATTCAATGTGAAGTTGGTGCATTACAAGGTCAAACTGTGCACTGAATAGGCTGACGATTTTGTGTATGTATGTTTCTGGATTCCAGAGACAAAAATTTAATCATGTTCCAAAATGTAAATGGATTCCATTTACAAAATTTCCGTCGATTCCGCGTACAACTAACTAATGTAAATTTTGTCGGTACATTAGTTTTGTTGCGAATTCCGCAACGAGTGAATATAGGTAGTTGTTCCGGTTTCCCCAAAATGGATGCAAGTGGATTAGTGAATCATTTTATAAGTGGATCATAATATAAGTTTTAGTAAGCTTAAATTGTCGTGGAATCCGCAACTGTTGGTGGATTCCGCAAATTTTAAGCGGAATCCACACAAAATTGCGGATTCCATTACAATTGCTGATTTCCTTTACGGTTGCACGACAGCTTATTTTACTAAACGCTCAGATAATGATTTCTTTGTGGACTTCACAAACCGTTCCGAATTCCGCAAATTTTGTTGTGGATTTCACAAATTTTCTTGTGGATTCCGCAAAACTGCTTGTTTTTGGAGCAATTTTGAGCAATACAGTGTCGTAGCTATTTGTCCGTGGAATCCGAAACAGCAAAGAAGATTAAACAAAAGTGGCAATGGTGCGGATTTTGCGACTAATCTGATTTTGGCCTGTAGCGGAATCCGCTTAAATTTCATAAAATACACAGCTTGGCCGCGTAATGTAGAACTGTCATTTATAACCTATCACAATGAAATACTTTTTCTGTGGGCAATCCGAAACAATTTTGTTTTAAATGATTTAAGACTAACAAATGATTAAACTTGATCTTTTGAACCTGAATTTGGAGATTGTATACGAAGTTCTTAGGAACCTTTTTTTTCAACACTAAAAACTATCTGCGAAAAATCTGGCTTGTAATTTCATTATGAGGGTGCCTCTTTTTTAGCTGAAAAGTTGAAAACGTTGCAATCTAAAATCAAATAACCGGTTTTGATAGTGCTTCAAGGAGTTACTTTTAAACTATCTCCATTCTGACCTCTTTATAAAAAGCGGTGTTTATAAAAAGCGGTGTTAAAAGCCTCTTTTTTAGCTGAAAAGTTGAAAACGTTGCAATCTAAAATCAAATAACCGGTTTTGATAGTGCTTCAAGGAGTTACTTTTAAACTATCTCCATTCTGACCTCTTTATAAAAAGCGGTGTTTATAATCGTCCTGATGAATCATGGAACCAAAATGAACGAAAGATTAAATCGATAATGGATTTAATTAGAATTACGAGCAATTACACTTTCTATCCACTCGCGAAAATACAGTACATTGGCGAAAAAACTCGTTCCTTGGCAATCAAGTTGAGATGAGAACTCTCTAAAGTGACTGGTCACTCCGTATACACACTTAGGTTCCCTAAACTGTCCATTTAGGACATACAAGGGCGATCCACTATCTCCATAACATATGGTGTTGTCATGCAAGATCCGTTTTGTCTGTAGAATATCTTTTCTCCCTTGGATCCAGCGATCGAAACGCCAGAAAACGTTTTCTTTAAAATACGTTTCCATAAGGTAGTCTGGAGCGCGGTTGCTTCCGGTTGAGATTCGCCCGAGACCACAAGTGCCGAGTAGGGTTTGGAATTTGGCCTCTCTATCGCAAAGAGGGATGACCCTTATCTTGGGGAATGGAAGTCTGACTTGCACTATAGCAATATCATTTTGAAGATGTCTCCTGTCAAACCTAAATGAAAAACAAGCATCCTTCTGCAATTTCGTTAATTCAAAAACAAAATGACTTTCGATTATAATTCTGCAACTACTTTGGTACTACTCTATGACTTGCGAAAAATTCTTTCTTTTGGTCAAAAATATTCCATAATCCGCTTCAATTTCGCTTCAAATCCCTCTCCCCCCCCCCTGCTTGAGAAAATCCTAAATCGGGCCTTGGACTCACCAATCTGACCATTCATAGATTTATTCATTGTATCTATCCCAAATAGATTTGTAGATAAACATCTCGGATCAAGCTAGCACCCACCTGCAACCCTCCCATACCAAACAGAGACCAAGTTAAAATCGCCAACTAGACGACCGTAAATTTCGAGTTGAGAACCAATTTAGAATTTTTCTCACTAAACTGCTCTGATACCATCGGTACATTTGATATTATTAGATATTGCTACAATCTAAGTATTCCAGATCCGTATTTAAGATCTATTTCAGATCCGTTTCAATTGTATTAAGAACAAAATTGATAGCTTTTTGTGAGAAAAATAACCAAAACTTTTTTATTTAGAAAAGAATATAAAAGAACCAAGAAAACCTATTTATCGAACTTACTCAGCATGTAACCCGATTTTGGAGGCAAAGTGCATTTTGTGGGCGGTTGTGTTGCTTCCGGCTGCAAAATCACCCACTTCGACCCTAACATCAGCTAAAAAAAAACGAACACTTAACCATGTCCTAGCATAACTCTAGCGAGATCTGGTTTTCAGTCTCAACTATTGACTAAAACTAAATTTGGACCGTTTGATCAATGGCAACTGTAAAGAGTTCCTGTAGAAAAAAACCTAGGATTCCTGTAAAAAATTCTAGTTACTTAACTAAGGAACTTAGTTGTGTAGCTTAAAAGAAGTTTTGTTAAAAGATACTAACTAAACTAATCTAATGCTAAAATTGGAGTTGAAATCAGGTTTAAACGTTTGTTGAATTCATCGATCAAGCCGTTAATTTAGAATATAACCAACGGAAGAAACAAGACTGTTCGTATCAGGCAGCAACGAACCAGCTCTTGATAAACTTGTCGACTCCGCAAATATGGCTTATAAGAGTACACAAATGGTCAGTTCAAATCTCATTTTGCCAAACACGGGGAAACGCCGATTGCTAGATTCATCGGTCCGCCAATGCCTCTCAACCGACCCGTTACAGCGCAAGAAGTCACGGCATGCGCGAAGACAATGGCTAACGGCCGCGCTCCAGGCTGTAATGGTATTGTCACTGAACTCATAAAGTATGCACCCGATAACATTCGCCAAGTCATTTGCGACAGTCTGAACAACCTACCCGAGCATCATTGTGATTTAGACTTTCGACGTAGTAATTTTTTGCTCTCCAGAAACCAGGGAATTCACTCGATCCTCTGAAAAATTTGCGTCTTTGCCCTTTTTCCTGTCATATGGAAGTTTTGTTGCAATATTACAATGAGTAGAATTAAACCAGCGTGTGATACACTTTTGTCTTTTTCTAAGAGCGCTTGCAGGAACGATGTTGATAAGTTCATTGCCGCTAAATGTTAAAAAGAGAAGATATCGAGTTTCTCAACTGGAATTGATTTGACCTCTGCATTTGATACAATTCAGAGAGATAAACTTCTCGAGTCGATCAGCACATTTTTGATTGAAGACGAAAACAGAGTGATCCGCGCTCTCATTTGCGACACTTCTTTTGTGTCAATGGATGTACTGCCACTAGCCCTCCTTTCATAAAAGTCGGGTCTTCCCAGGGAGATAAGTTGAGCGGTATGTTGTTCAATATCTGATTCTAAAGCGCGCTTAGAAAAGCTCGAAGTTCAATAGTCTCTACAAACTATTGCGACCACGACTACGGCTACAACAACGACCCAACAGAAAGCAACATATGCGGACGACAGAGACTTTATCGCATTCTCAGAAGTCCAACGCGATCTAAACAAAAACATTATACCCGGTATACTTAGAAATGAAAACTTTTGTGTCAGCAGTGATAAGACTGAAGTTGTTACAATAGCTCGTTCAGACAGGTTCAACTAGGTTCTTTGATTGGAGACAGTGAAGATGTGATAAGACGAAAGAACATTTCCACCGCCGTGTTAAACTAACTGAACAGACTGTGATTTCAGATTGTTAACGACACGCTTGAAAGTATACAACACCATAGTGAAGCCAATTTTACTCTATAACAGCAAAGCATGGGGAATTACGAACACCGAGATGAAAGGGATCAACGCTTTTGCTGACAACATTTCAGGAAAGTACTGAAAGTTCGTTACCTTCACAATATCGGGATTAAAGCCCTGTTTAGAGTGTCCATGTCCGAACCTATCAGCCATGAAAAGGTCACTAGACGATGGCGATTTTTCGGACATGTTTTACGCTTACCTACTGACTTTTCCGCATGGCGAGCCATGTATCTATATTTTTCTGCTAAAATAGCTCTAAGCTTCGCTGGTAGACCCCGGAAGACACTGCCTTTGTGCTTGAACGAAAATATCAAGAGAGCTTCCAACAGAGACACAAATCTCGATCACAACTGTTTTGAAACGATCCACGACCTCTCATGCTTGCAACTGACAGAAAACGACGGAAAAAACTGCAAAACTAAATAATTGCTGCTGCCAAGGCTGAAGAGCAGTGTTTATAGGTTTTTACTATTACTATGACGATACCCTTAGAATGATTTTAAAAAATTCCGTCAAAAATGGCTAGTTAAAAAGTCTAAATTTGTCTGAAGAAAAAAACCCGGAGCACAAATATTCCGTTATTTTCATCACGAAAATTGGAACACATACGATATACAAATGATACGACGCTTTTAGCGAGTATCAATCACCATGTATTATGATTTACTGTAGCTATAAAACTTTTGTTTTGTGTAGCAGCACTGCTGCTTAGTAAAGATAATATAATTATATTTTAAACATAATAACCCGGGTTGACAAAAAATGCTTGTCATACAATTTTCATATATGAAAAAAATGCTTTTCAAACTCTTTCATACAATTTCAGTGAGAAAAAGTAAGTGTATAAAAGGAGCAAAGTAAGCATTTTTTCCATAATAAGAAATTGTATGACAAGCATTTTTTCCATACTATGAAATTATATGATAAGCATTTTTTCCATAAAAAAAAATTTGTTTCGAAATTTTCTGTTTCAACCGAAACACTAACCAAGGATTCTTTGCAATGAAAAACCCAGATTGTAACTGGCAGTTACCACGCAGATGAACTGCATTTGGTGATTATAGTCATGAAGGTTAATTTTAACATTTTCACATGGAATTTTATACTAAAAAAGTAACTTTTTGAATACGGCTAGATAGTTTTTTAGTTTAAAAAATTTGGTGGTTGAGAAAAAAGGCCTGTTTTCTTACAAAACGATAATAATCGTGTTTACAAAAAAAAAGACTTTCTTGTAATTTTTGAGTTTTTTGGTTGAAAAACTCACCCTGGACTACGTTATAAACAAAAAAAGTCAAGTTTTGCATGCAAAATTTTTTATCGTAAAATTTATATTTTAACACAAAAGCAAGTTTGCAACCAAAAAAAGAGATTGACAATTTTTTACCTCAAATTTTTGTTTTTGTTTATGAAAAAAATGCATATCATGCAAGTTTTATATATAAAAACTTTATGATAAGCATTTTTCTGACCGAACTGAAAATTATGTTTTTCATTGTCAAAATGCCCTCTATCATAGATATAATTATTCAAATCTATTTAAAGTTACCCAGACACGTTTTTTAGTGATTTTTGAAAATTTTATTTTTTTATGACAAAAAATAAATTTGTCATAAAAAATTTGTCATAATCTTATAATTTTCATACAAGAAAACTGTATAATAAGCTTTTTTTACCAAAAATTTTAAATCATTTTTTTAATGACCAAAAAGCTTCAAAAGAGGCAATTAGACCAAAAATGTTCATTAAAAATTTTAAAACACTTAAAATTTTGTATGAATTTTCTATGATAAGCATTATTTCCATAGACTTCATATGTGAAACTGTATGATAAGCATTTTTATTCTATGGACGTCAACCCGGGAACCCGCACTTGAATTTTAACTTAAAATATTTTCAAAATGTTTCTCCCATGCCCAATTTGAAAAACAAACTGCTGTATTCAGCAACTTTGAACATAATGTTAGAATCAAATAGCGTGCTTAAACGCAACTTCTAATAACTTATGGGATGAGTTACGTCACTGCTTTTACCACAAATGAAAAATTGAACTATCGTCAGCATTAGTTATTCTAAATCGGACAAATTAATCTTTCAATGAATTTAATCCATATAATCTTTAAATCCATTTTTTTATCACTATCCTTTAAACTGTATAAAAATGGGCCTAATTTAAAAAAACCTGAAGGGTATATCTTTACTCACTTTGTAAAAAAAAATTGGAGCAGGCGTCAACGAACGTTTTGACTGGACACGGTTTTTTGTCGCAGTTTTCGAAGAAAGAATAGAGTATTTGAACTTGGTGTGCCTGTCAGAATATTTGTTTCTTTCAGTGCGAAAATTCAGATGAAGGAAAACAAAATGGTCATCATGTTTTTTTTCAACAAAAATGCTTGCCATTCATTTTTCAATTTTGAAATCTCCATGATAAGCAATTTATCCGTTAAAAAAATCTTAAACTGAGAAAAATAACTATATTCCCAAGTTTAATTGAAAAACCATACAGAAGAAAAAAAATTTTCCCAATTTTTTTTGCAGCAAAAGTTTCTTTTTTGCCTGTAACATTGTGTACGCATTTTTTGTGTCAAAATATTATGAGTAATCTTTAAAGTTCTCTGTGATGGCGGATTTTGTAAATTTTAGTTTTAAAAAATATAATAAAACCTAGATTTTTCCAAAAAAACAGGCCACATTTTAATCTCTGAATTTTGAACTTTTTGTTTCTAATTTGTGTGAAATTCAATTTTATCTGACTAGGCATCTAGTAATACGCAGTTTCATCTGCAAACTCGATGCCGGTTAACCTTTTTTTCTTTTAAATTTCAGATAACTATTAGATTTTTTGTTAAATAAATAAAAAGCGAAACACATAAATATACAGCGAAACACAAAATAATTACTTGGAAAAAAATGCTTGTCACGCAATTCCATAGTTTAAAAAAACCTATCATGTGTTTTTCACTCATTTTTTTTTAATCTATGGACTCGTATGACAATCGTGTTTCCTTAGTACGGAAAAACATTTATGTGTCAACCCGGGAAGGTAAAATCCTGTCGACACTGACGAAGAGACTGAACACAAGCCATTTCAGTGGGGTATGTCAAAAGTGAACGTCCTAGAAAATTACAAAAGTTTCTTAATCCATATGCTAATGATAGTGCAAAGTGTTTTCATAAGGTTTGAAACACTTAACTTCGTCCTGATTCTATATCAGAAATGTGTGACAGGAAATCACTAAGGAGATCTACCTGCATCTACCATACAATGAGCGGCAGTCAGCACGAAGTACTCGTGGATGATAGTTCCCCCACACGCTAAGCTTTTGTTGACGCGAGTGTTAATGAGAATTTGAACGAAGAAGGGCCGCGAGGGACTCGGTATGTCCCGCGATGATTTTGGAAAGAAGAGAGTCACTTAACTCAGCTTTAGGGTCTTCATTCTCGACGTCTAAACTACGAGCTTGCGAGGGAATTGCTTTGAAAGGTAGGAAAAAAAACAATGGAAAATTATTGAATATGTCATTTTAAGTCAGTTAGAGTCTGAACAGATCACTGCCTCGTTGAGCGTTGTTAAGAAGAAAATTGCAAACTCCTGTTTCAAATCAAGTTAAACATAGAAAATTAGAATAATGATCGAAAGATAATGACAAGGTCAAGGCACAAAAGTTTACCTCGAACCTTATAATCAAAACATAAACTCATTAAGCAACTATGGTGAAATTGTAAGTATAACTTAGATTCAATTTTGTTATATTTACATTTGGTTAATTCATCTCAAATAAGGCTGAATGAGAAATTGAGTGAGCAAAAGCAATACTAATACTCTTATTGTTCCGACTTTCGATACGAAAGTAACGGAATATTTGTGCTCGGGGTGGGTTTTTTTTCTTCAGACATAATTTGACTTTTTAAGTGCGTCATTTTTGACGGATTTTTTATATATCGTTCAAAAAGTATTGTTGTTTTGAGCTTAAATTTGAAAAAGTATTTCACCTTCGATCATGTTTCGTAAAGTCATGGGGGGGTTTAAAGATTGCCGTTTTGCCATTTTGACCAATTTGGGACAATTAACGCACGGTATATTTCGCGCCATTAACGCGTCAGCGGAGGTTTAATCCGTCTTACAAATTGTTCGAAATTTGTTGTAAAAAAGCTTATTTACCATAATTAATTTGTTACAAGGACCAAAATCTATTCTTATGTATTTTATATTGGCGTGTGGGGGGAATGATTTGCATAAAAAGTTTCAATTTTAGGAGAAAAAAGGTTCGTTTTTATTTTATTATTTAAATTTTTAAATGTTATTACTGCTGCATAAACCTGAAAAAGCAGTCGGAACATTCAAGGCTTTGCCCTGATACGAGCAGTCTTGTTTAATTGTTTCTGTTAAATGAGTAAAATAGAAAAAATATGTGTTGTTTTTGAGAGTGTATGGGGTGTTCAGACTTTTGATTAACACCCAAAGCGAAAACCCACCAGAGCCAAATTATTCCGTCATTTTCCTCAAAGTCGGAACAACAAGAAAATGTGTAATTTGATCCAGTTTTTTTTAATTACTCAGTTTCGAAAAACCGGTATAAAAATTTGGGCATTTAGTGCAACATACAGCAACTAATATATACACACATATATTTAAACTTGTATATGTCGTGCCGGTCACACCTCGCATTTAATTTTTCTTCTTGATTGCGTTATTCACTGGCAGTTTTCATGATCCCGCACAAACTTCCGTCGTTCGCTTAAACTTGCGGACACATCATCTCTAGTCAAAA